CTGGCCAACATGGTGAAACCCCCGTCCCTACTGAAAATACAAAAATTAACCAGGCATCATGGTGGGCACCTATAATCCCAGCTACTTGTGGGGAAAAGAAAGAGAGATCAGACTGGTACTGTGTCTATATAGAAAGAAGTAGACACAAGAGACTCCATTTTGTTCTGTATTTGAGATGCTGTTAATCTGTGACCTACCCCCAACCTTGTCCTTGCAAGAGACATGTGCTGTGGTTTAACGGATTTTGGGCTGTGCAGGGTGTGCTTTGTTGAACAAGTGCCTGAAGGCAGTATGCTTGTGAAAAGTCATCACCATTCTCTTAATCTCAAGTACCTAGGGACACATACACTGCCAAAGGTCACAGGGACCTCTGCCTAGGAAAGCTAGGTATTGTCTAAGGTTTCTCCCCATGTGATAGTCTGAAATATGCCCTCCTGGCAAGGGAAAGACCTGATCGTCCCCCAGTCTGACACCCGTGAAGGGTCTGTGCTGAGGAGGACTAGTACAAGAGGAAAGAAGGCCTCTTGGCAGTTGAGACAGAGAAAAGCATCTGTCTCCTGCCCGTCCCTGGGTGGGGAACATGTATGTTCTGTTTACTGAGAAAGGAGAAAACCACCTAAGGGCTGAAGGTGGCACGCCGGCAATGCTGCTCTTTATGCACTAAAAAGGTTTATGGAGATGTTTGCATATGCATATCAAGGCACAGCACTTTTCCTTAAACTTATGTCACAGAGATCTTTATTCATATGTCTTACTGCTGACCTTCTCCCTACGATTATCCTATTATCCTGCCACTTCCCTTTTTCTAAGATGGTAAAGATAATGATCAATAAATACTGAGGGAACTCAGAGACCCGGTGCCGGCGTGGGTCCTCTGTATGCTGAGCGCCGGTCCCCTGGGCCCACTTTTTCTTTCTCTATGTTTTGTCTCTGTGTCTCATTTCTTTTCTCAAGTCTCTCGTTCCACCTAATGAGAAACGCCCACAGGTGTGGAGGGGCAGGCCACCCCTTCACTACTCAGGAGGCTGAGATAGCAGAATCATTTGAACCCAGGAGGTGGAGGTTGCAGTGAGCCGAGATTACGCCACTGCACTCCAGCCTGGGTAACAGAGCAAGACTCTGTATCAAAAATAATAATAATAATGATGATGTAGATAAAACATTTGGAAGAATATCTGGCATTCAATAAACAGTAGCTATTATATCCCTCATTCCAGGCACTTACATAGCACCAAATAACTAGGTGCTAATCAAGAGACCAGTCACTGATGAATCAGAATCTAATAATTTTTTTTGAGAGAGAGGGTCTCACTTGGTTGCCCATGCTGGAGTGCGGTGGACCAATCTCGGCTTACTGCAACCTCCGCCTCCCGGTTCAAGCAATTCTCCTGCTTCAGCCTCCTGAGAAGCTGGGATTACAGGTGCACGGCACCATACCGAGCTATTTTTTTGTATTTTTAGTAGAGACAGGGTTTCACCATGTTGGCCAGGCTGGTCTCAAACTCCTGGCCTCAAGTGATCCACCTGCCTCGGCCTTCCATAGTGCTGAGATTACAGGTGTGATACACCTTGCCCAGCCTAGAATCTAATAATTTCTTCCACATACACAATTATGTGCCACATATGTAAGCCTATGCTATTGTGCTAATCAATACTTCAATACGCCAGGTGCGGTGGCTCACACCTGTAACTCCAGCACTTTGGGAGGCCGAGGCATGCGGATCATGATGAGGTCAGGAGATCAAGACCATCCTGGCTAACACGGTGAAACTCTATCTCTACTAAAAACACAAAATGTTAGCCGGGTGTGGTGGCATGCACCTGAAGTCCCAGCTACTTGAGAGGCTGAGGCAGAAGAATCGCTTGAACCCGGGAAGCGGAGGTTGCAGTGAGCCGAGATTGCGCCACTGCACTCCCGCCTATGCAACAGAGCGAGACTCCATCTCAAAAAAAAAAAGCAAAAACCAAACACTTCAATAACTCCTCAAGATGTCTATTATATAAATCTGAATTTATATAATCTGAATTTATCTGAACATTTTCTTAATCTAACTGAAATTTAAAACATACACATGCAGAATAAAGCAGTTTTTGAAAATGTGAATTTTGACTAATTCTTGGGTCCTGAATTTTAACAAGCATTTGTATTTATTTATTTATTTTGGCATGTTTACTTATTAATATGATACATAATTTTTAAAACAACTTGTATTTTAGGTTTGGGGGTACATGTGAAGGTTTGTTACGTAGGTAAACTCATGTTGTGGGGATTTGTTGTGCAGATTTATTTCATCACCTAAGTATGAGGCCCAGTTTCCAAGTTATCTTTTCTCCCCTCCCATGTTCCATCCTCAAGTAGACCCTAGTCTCTTGTTTCCTTCTTTGTGTTTATGAGTTCTCATCATTTAGCTTCCATTCATTTATTTATTTATTTATTTATTTATTTATTGAGACGGAGTCTCACTCTGTTGCCAGGCTTGGAGTGCAGTGGCGCAATCTCAGCTCCCTGCAATCTCCGCCTCCTGGGTTTAAGCAATTCCCCTGCCTCAGCCTTCTGAGTAGCTGGGACGACAGGTGCACATCACCATGCCCGGCTAATTTTTTTGTATTTTAGTAGAGGCAGGGTTTCACCGTGTTGGTCAGGATGGTCTCGATCTCCTGACGGTGTGATCTACCTGCCTCAGCCTCCCAAAGTGCTGGAATTACAGACGTGAGCCACTGCGCCCTGCCTAGCTCCCACTTATAAGTGAGAACATGCGGTATTTGGTTTTCTGTTCCTGCGCTAGTTCAGCATTTATTTTTAAGTGGAATAAAATGGGGCCGGGCACAGTGGCTCACACTTGTAATCCCAACAATTTGGGAGGCCAAGGCGAGCAGATCACTTGAGGCCAGGATATCGAGACCAGCCTGGTCAACATAGCAAAACCCCAACTTTACTAAAAATATAAAAATTATCTGGGCATGGTGGCACGCATCTGTAATTCCAGCTACTCAGGAGGCTGAGGCAGGAGAATTGCTTCAACCTATGAGGCAGAGGTTGCAGTAAGCCAGGATCACACCACTGCACTCCAGCCTGGGCAACAGAGCGAGGCTCTATCTCAAAATTAATTAATTAATTAAATTAAAATTTTAAAAATGGGATGGAACAGAAAATGTCAAAGTGGACACAGTATTTAGTTATGTGCATATGGGATCATGATATAAAATATACTTCCAACTGCAGGCTGTAGTCAGAAATTTTTGAAAGCTAATAGACCAGGAGGGGTGGCTCACACCTGTAATCCCTTAAAAACCACATCTTACTTATGTTACAATTCTGTAGGGCAAGAAGTCCAACTGTCTCATAACTTTCTTTGTAGATATCAAATGCCCATCTGACACAGCTGGGAAGATTCTCTGCATTTATTTTTTTTCTGAGACAGAGTCTCACCTCTGATGCGCCCCAAGGCTCGAGATGCAGTGGCGCAAGGTCTCAGCTCCGCAAGGCTCCGCCTCCCGGGGTTCACGCCATATCTCCCTGCCTCAGCCTCACTTGAGTAGCTGGGACATACAGAGTGGCGCCCACCCCATGCCAGCTATATTTTGTATATTGTAGTAAGACAGGTTTACCCTTGTTGCCAGGATGGTTCTCAATCTCCTGACCCTCAGGTCTGCCGCCTCAGCCTCCCAAAGTGCTGGATTACAGGTTGTGAGCCACACCTCGGCCAGTAATACTCATTTTAAGGACAATGTGTAATAGGATTTAGACCACCCCAGTAATACCGGATTATTTCTCAGCTCAGACTCCTAATTTTTTTTAGGTTAGCCAAGTGGATCAGAGTCAACAATCCATTCTAAAAAGTCCTTTCCAAGTAAGGTGACATATTCTACAGGGTCCAAGGGTTGGATATGGCATCTTTGGGAGCCTATATTCCCCACATCATTATATATGGTTGATGTCTAAATATTAACGTTTAGTCTATCTGTTCATTAATAGTAAGAATTTAGTTATCTACGAATATTTTACTTTATTCTTTTTTTTTTTTTTTGAGACAGAGTCTTGCTCTGTTTGCCAGGGCTGGAGTGCATGGACGATCATCAGGCCACTGCAACCTCTGCCTTCAGGTTCAAGCAATTCCTGGCCTCAGCCTTCCAAGTAGCTGGTGATACTGGAGATGGCACACCACTCCTGGCTAATTTTGTATTTTTAGTAGAAGGGGTTTGCCATGTTGGCCGGCGGTCTCAACATCTGACTCAGGATGATTCCTCCATGCCTCTGCCTCCCAGTAGTTGGGATTCAGGTGTTGAGCCCCCTCCTGGGTTTCATAGCTTTCAAAATTGCCTTGACTACAGCTGCAGGTTGGAAGGATATCTTTTAATTATCATGATCCTATATGCACAAACTGAATAACTGTGGGTCACTTGGTGACATTTTCTGTCCTATCCCATTTTAAATTTATTAATTAAATTAATAATTATTATTTGAGATAGAGCCTCGCTCAATGTTACCCAGGCTGGGTAGCAGTGGCGTAATCTCGGCTCACTGCCACCATCCACCTCCGGGTTCAGTGATTCTGCATATCCCAGCCTCCTGATAGGTGAAACGGTGGCCCTGGCCCTCAACTGTTGGCGTTCTCATTAGGTGGACGAGAGACTGTGAGAAAGAAATGGACACGAGAACAAAACATAGAGAAAGAAAAAGTGGGCCCCGCGGGACCGGCGCTTCAGCATCAGAGACCCACGCCGGCACCGCGGTTCTCTGAGTTCCCTAGTTATTATTGATATTATCTTTCCATCCTTAGAAAAAGGAAGTGGCAGGATAATAGATAACGTTAGGGAAGAAGGAAGCCAGTAAGACATATGATAAAGAGTCTCGTGACATACAGTTTAAGGAAAGTGCTGTGCCTTGTATGATTGCAAACTTCTCCATAAACCTATTTTTCAGTGCATAAGAGCGCATTGCGCCACTTGCCCTTAGTGGTTTCCCTTTCTCAGTAACGAACATACATGGTTTTGCACCGAGATGTTCCCCACCAGCGGGCAGGAGACAGTGTTTCTCTATCTCACTGCCAGGTTCCTTCTTTCCTCTTGGTACTAGTGGG